ATCCCAGTATGAGTTGTGGAACAAAGAAAACTCCTTTAAGTCTCACGATGGACGTTTTTATGCTAGACAACTTCAAAAGCGCTGAGAATGGATGGATAATTCCAGCATAGAAGAGCAGACGAATTGGAGATTACAAAATAGAATAGTGAATTTATGAAGGATGCATAGACAGATTTGAGGATAGTGGTGAGCTAAGTGGAATGAGTGGATAGACCCATATTGAATGCGAAATAAATGAATTGGTATATTGAAGATGGACAAAAGAATATGTGTGCATGTGCAGTAGTCCATGCTGATAAATAAGCTTTGTTGTGAAAGACCAAATATTCCAAGAAAATTTTCCGCAATACACTGGGGCGATAACAAAACCACTCCGAGACAAGAAATCTGTCTTGTTGGCGTGAACGCCCCAAAGAGGAATAGATATCAGTATATCTGTACGTCGGCGATGGCCCTGACTACAGCCTCAAATTTCACCTTTTCCGAATAATCAGCTAGGGCTGGGAATATGTTCTTGACAAGTTAGGGCTCCGTGGCATTCAACATAGATTAGCAAACCCTCCTGATGTGCTTCTATCGTGTTGGCAAGTATTTCGATAGCAAATGTCATCAACCATTTGGTGAGCTTCTTTCATAAGTGGGTAAGGCAACAGATACTTCTAAGAAATACGCTTGAATAGCACCTCTCGAAACAGATCAGAAGTAAATTGGGTGATTTAGGACAATAAATTTTTCAGATGCTTGGATCAATGGGGACAACAAATAAATGAATGGAAACGTTAAACAAACAGGGATTGAGTGTCTACTAGACATTGTCAAATGTGCTGATCTCCTCGGTGACCTGCAGTGATCTGCAGGCACCATCAGCGAGGAGTGAATAGGAGAGGGTCATCATAAAAGTCACTCCATGATTATACCTTATCATAACAAATTTCGCCTTACTTAGTGGTGGGGAATTGAAAAGCCTGCTGTAGTAGGTTGATTTGCTGTTTTGCTGTGTGTGCACAGACGCTTCAGTTCCAAAATGCTCCACCGACCCATGTTCCATTCATTCATGCATTCACTGCCCATCCATCCCTCCATCCACTTTGCATCCATTCATTCGTTGATGCCTCCTGCCCTTGTACTTTCTTTCAACTGTCCAGACATATTTCTTCCATCGCTCCATACACGTTGACTCCATCCATCCACACAGCGTATCCGTGCTTGTGTATATCAAGTGGGTATTCACATTAGGGTGGATGTGGTGGTTAGTTGTTTACCAGGATCACCAGATGACTACTGAAAGTGGTCGAGTACTTACTTACCCACCTAAGCCACGATTACTTGTGTAATTAGTCTCTGAACATTGATGCCTACACAACAGTTAAAACAATTGGCTTTCTTTGGGAAATTTCTATTTAATTTTACGAAAATCCTACAGAGGACGGGGGACGAACTTTTGTGTTACCTGCTGAAACAACAGAGAGTTGGCAGAATATCTCCCATCCCTAATGGTTGCTGAGTGGAGATTTGGCTTTGAAGGAGTCAAAAGAAGGTAAGTCATGAGAAGAGAATGAGAGCGGAAGGTGGGGAAGGGGATGAGTTGGGAAAGCAGAAATGGATCTAACCGCTTCCATTGTCCTTCCCCCAACTGATCGTCTTCCTTAGCCTCCTTTTCATCGTCCCT